TAAATACAATCTTTGCTAGCCTGAGCAATGAGACAAAGTTATGTTCTTTAACGGAAACTTAGAATAAGTCTGCCTGGGTCTAAAAGTCAATAACTTTTTTTTTTTTTACATCTGCATTATTAAAATTTCACTGGATACTCAGACAGCGGGTACTTGTTGCTTCTGCACTATGGTAACTCCAGAGGAAGGCTTCAAAACTTCTTTGAGCCAAAACTTGCTTCTCAGAATGTCAATGTCTAGCACAAGCCATCTGATTGATGGATAAAACTGATTTTTAAGATGAGCCAAGGTTTAGTAATACAACTGAGAGGAAAAAAGAAAGAAAGAAAGAAAGAAATCCAAATCCAGAAGTTTTCATCCCTGAGGTTATCTTAGAAGGAGACTTTTTCAGAACCAAGAACAAGATTACTTGGGGATGAGGCTCCTGAGAAGAGAAGCTATGTTGAAATTTGTACAGTTTTATTAAAAACAGAAGCAAACCAGACTGCATGTGCATATTTTAAAAAATTAATAGGGGCAAAACATTTCTTCTAAAATGTTATCCTTTTCCACTAAGTACTGCAGAGAACTTTAATTAATTATTGAGATTCTAATAGCCCTAAAGACAAGTCTTAAATGATATTTACTTGGGGATATACATTGGAGTGACATTTTTGGGAGAACCATTTGAAAATATTTAGCAGAAGTCTAACATGCACACTCACTGAATGAACAATTTCAGGTTTAGAAATTGATCCTGAGAAAATGGGCAATGCCACAGATACAAGGATGTCCATTACAGCATTGTTTATAATAATAACAACTGAAAGAGCCTAAATACCCACCAACAAGTAAATTCATGGTCATCATATAGAGGAATACTACAAGGCCATAATACAAATATAAAAATTATATCATAAAATTGTGTATGACAAGGAGAAGTAGTTATTATTTATTGCTGAGGAGCAAACAGCAAGTTATAAAACTGTAGTGCTATATAATTTAATTTCTGCTTAAAATATATGCATAAAAATACTTAGAAGGGTAAAGTTAATATGTATAAACATAAACTTTTACATATTTAGTATAACTAGCATAAGTGTATAAGTTAATATGTGTACACTAATTGTATTCATCATTGAGTTAGAGATCATAGGTAATTTTTATTTACCTCTTTTGAGGGGGGTCTACATTCTGACTTTTCTACAACAAACATTTTTAATTATACAATAATCATTAAAATATTTACTCGAGGCACCCATGTAATTGTTAGTGCTTTTCAAATTTTTATAATACCGAATACTGTGTGTACTATGGAGGAAAGTGGTGGAGGGAAAAGAAAGAGGAAAGACAGACCATTATAAAGTTTGTTAGTTTATCATATACATATCTGTTGTAAAGTTTCAAGTTAATCTGGAAAAAAGTACCCAATGAAACAGTAGTGAACAGTTAATGTTCATAAGATGAAAGTCTATTCTCATAGATTTAATTTTTCTCCACTCCTTGGAAATGCCGGTTCTGTGTAAGGAGCAGGTGGCTTTCTTTTTTTTAGTCTCTCTGCTGCCTTGTCAGCTACAGCTCTCTCAAAAGTTTTCTGGGAGCTAACCAAGCTTTATCTAACCAAACCCAAACTGGCATATGGACTTCATCCGTACAGTCATATGAATCCTTTGGCTGATGTCTCCTGCCATGTGTCTAATCGGCTTTATAAAATCCGTGCTTGAAGGAGGGCTCTACAGCTGTATGAGTCTGTGATGCTGTGGGATTAAGGCAAAGACACTGCTACACTGGAATCTGGTACCATCACTGCCACCAAATATTGGCAGTATATATCTGAACAAAGGAAGAATCCTAGTAATTCTGACTGAAAAATTTCTATCATGCATTTTCGCTTAGATCTACCAATAACACTTCTTTAAGTGCCTTGTTAGACAGTGAAATCTGGGAATAATTATCAAACACCATACGCACTGTTTATAATAGAATCATATTTCTTTTCCTTCTCTCCCCCTCCCACTCTTTTTTTTTTTTGCATAAAAAAGTAGAATGCTGCTGAATGGTACCCAAATGTCTGCTGTATACCATGCCAATACAGCAGCTCAGCCAAAAATGCAAAAAGAATAGTTTGCCAAGTAAAAGAAAACATAACAAATTGGTAATGGTTTCTATCTTGACAGAAAATGAAAATGATCCCTCAATGTGTGGCCACTCATGTGGACACATAAAAATGTCTTAGAAGCAATCATTTTACCTCAGATAACAGACCCTGACAGTGTAGTACAGCGTACTGGCTGACTTTCACTTCTTAGAAAAGCGGCAACTGTGACCTACAAAATAGTCTGGGAACCATGTAATTTATGCATAACACACATGCACATGCCATGCATTCATAATATTTGCTATAAATCATTTTGAATACTTCTTTTCTGGGTAGAATATACTTTATGAGAGAGGATCTAAATCACCAGAGACTTGATAAAGCTAAACTGGTTTGTCTATGAACAGAAATGATGCTGCTTATAGGTTACAACATTTCAATGGTCTATATTACAATAAAAAAGGCATTACATAAGAGCCCTATGTACTCTGTATGATTCTGCATAGTTTCTTGAACACTAAAGATATTTTTCTTAGATGTTAGATCAAACAAATACAAAAAAATTCTGGAGGTGCATAGTGTACAGCTCTTATTTTCTGCTTAGGAGACTGCAGTTGAAAGCAGAAATGAACCATCTGAAGACCTGCTAATGGTTCCTTTAACTTATTCCCTCCTTATTCAACACTTACTTTTTTCTCCAAATGGAGAATTAGTCAATATCATTGACCAGTGATTGTCTTCCCCCTTGTCTGATGAAGGTTTCCCATCTGTTTAGCTTTCCAGTGAGAATGTTAGACAGAAAATTGATTGTATAATCAAATCACATCAAAACTAAGAATGACACTTTTAAAAACACATCAATGGTATGTGAAGTTAATGAGGAATTCAAAATGAGAGAATACTGAATCAAGGGGCTAGGAAGAACCTTGAGAAGTTAAATGGTCTTGCCAAGCCGAAAGTAAATTTGAATCCTGTGGGTTATGCGTTTCAAATGAAACTTCTGGGGTTTGAATTTGTTGGTGACTTTCCTGTTCAATAAAAAAGGACTTAAATGGCTTATAAAAAGGTTAAAAAAACTTATTGGGCATCAAACTACTCTTACAAAACACCATCTTGATGAGTTAAGTGTAAATGAATCAGAAACACATGGGTCATATTTCCTTTAAAAATGCATATGGATTCAAAAATAAGGGGAAGAGGACTTGGCAAAACATTTTTGTGTGGTGGCTGAACCCAAAACATTTGCAAGATATTTTGAGACATTCAAGGAATCCGAAATAAAACTAAACCTGTCCAGTCACATAAAAACCAGAAAGTTCTTCTGTGCAATGTGCATTTATCTCTATGGTTCAATCAACACTCACTGAGCCTTCACTTGGCACAGAACTATGGGAGGAGCCAGCTTCTGCCTTCAAACAACTTCGAATTTAAGTATAAACAAATATATATAAGTAATAGAAACCTATTAAAGTAGACCTAGGATTTTATAAAACTTGGCATCATAACCCACATCACATGAAAAGTACACATTTTTTAAAAAGTATAAATTAATTGAGAAGTGCTTTCAGGGTCCCGGGTTAGGTAGGAATTATTTCATGCAAATCATCATCCTTTCAGCATTTTGATTAAAGTTATATACAGTTGCAGTGTCTTACGTGTTTAAATGTTTTCTTAATAAGTGTTTTTATGTCTTTTTAGAGGTGTGTCCCAGCCCTTCTTCCTCTACCCTCCAGATTTGTGAGTGCTCCACAAATCTTACTGACAGGTTTCCTGGAGATGGGAGTGTTGAACAGAGTTTTGAAATAGGGGAGATGCTGTTTGGCAGGGAGAACTGAGGCCATGATTCTGGGTTGGGGTAATGGCACATGTGACAGTTCAGAGGCTCCAGAGGGTGAGTCATGTGTGGGGGGTGATGCATGGGTTTGCTTGCAGCAGTGCGACTGAGCCAGGGTGCAGTGGGAGGGGAAGGCAGTTAGGTGTGGGGAGGCCTAAGAACTGCATGTGAAGTCAACTTGAGGACAGGGGGGTGTGAGAAAGGGAAACACAAGCCTATTCTTTCTGTTTTCCCTGCCACTATGAAATAAAGTTCGAAGCAAAGGACATGTACATGTAATTAATTTCTTTATTTTTTGAGTTGGAGTCTCGCTCTGTCGCCCAGACTGGAGTGCAGTGGCCGCTCCCGGCCACTGCAGTCTCGACTTGCTGGGCTCCGGCGATCCTTTCGCCTCAGCCTTCCGAGTAGCCAGAATTACAGGCATGCGCTACCACGCCCGGCTGATTTTTTGATTTATTGTAGAGATGAGGTTTTGCCAAGTTGCCCAGGCGGGTCTTGAACCCTCAGGCTCAGGCAATCCACTCACCTCAGCCTCCCAAAGTGTGGGATTACAGGCTGAGCCACTGATCCCGGCTAATTTCTTTATTTCTTATCAGTATTTTAGAAAGCTGAAAAATATTCAAAGATAAAAAGAAAATTAGCTATATACATATTGCTAGGGTCCTCTAGAGCATACATTTGAAGAGGAAGTTAGTAGGACTATAAAATGGATTACTGAGTTCTCAAATGTTTGTGAGAAAGTGTAAAAAAGTATTGATTTGTTATCTTTTAAGGTTGTTTTCTAATTGTTTAGTATGAGTCATATCTTTTTCACAATATTAAAGATTACTTAGAGCAGGGATAGTGTCGTATATTTCTTGTGCATTTTTCACTGACTAGCATGATACTGGGACCACACCAAGCACTCAATAAATGCTTGTTTATGGAATGGTTTTTCTATTGAACTGAAATGAAGTAAAAGGGTGCTGAGTCCTATAGTGATGACAGGAAAGTCTGAAAAAAAAGGACGATATAGTGGAAATGTCCCCATAGTGTCCTTGCCCTGAGTCTACTTACTCAGGGTTAACAGAAAGAAACCAAAGCCCTTACCAGCCTTCATCATCTTCCACTTCTGTTTCAGAAATGTCGTTCTCAGGAGTTTCAGCAATTGCTTGAGTGAGTTTAGATTTAAACTGGTTCAGCAGTTCGAGGGTCTGAAATAACAATTAGACTACTAAGTTTTCTGATACTGATAAATTTTATTTTAAAAGAGACACGTAAGTTTGGTAGAAAAGAAAATATCCTAGTTGGATGTAAAACACTTAGATAAATGTTTGATTTTGAAGGAAAATAACAAAATTGCCTTCAGGTTGCAACAGTTATATGAACAAACCTTGACGTTTTCCTGTTTGAATTTGCATTGACATTTTCCCTCAAAGATAGGTGACCATTTTGTGATTTGGGGAGTGTACCTTTGCTCTGTAGAAGACGCTTCAGTTTTTAAAAATGCATTCTCATTAATAGTTAGGTTTTTAATGTTCATAAAACAGGGAGATGACTCACTAAGATATGTGGAATAAAAAACAAAATAACCAATAGTAGTTTTCATTTAACAAATTTCCAAAAACTAAAAAAATAAATATTGGGAAAGTGGAATAAATAAACACATGAACTGTTGGATGATGAGTAAATTGAAATAATATCTTTAGAGAGCTGTTCATGTGTATCAGAAACTTTAAGATGGTCATTCTGTCTTATTCAGTAATTCCAATCCTAGGACTGTATTCTAGAAAAGAAACCCGAAACACAGAGACTGGCTTATGCATAAGATGTGCACTGCAGAAAAATTCATACAAATTGAAAATAGAAACATGTTAAATGTCTATCAATAAGAAACTCAATAAATTTGGTAAAAAGCAATGAATGTACTATTACACTGTTACTAAAAATTATTCAGATATATTCATGAAGCACTATATTCTACTGTTAAGCAAAAGAATGATACAAATATTATGGTGAGTATATTTTTCTAAAAAGGTGGGGGGCATTACTCTAAATTCTTGTTTGGCTCCTATGTTCTCTGTGGGCAAGAAGCAGCAACAAGCTTCAATTTTTCAAGAAGTTACAATTTTGTAATCACATTGTCTCTTGGCTATACATTAACAGTCAACTCTAGAATTTGAGCAGAGAACACAAGCTAAAAGTTTTTCTAGTCTACAGTTTTAAGGAGTACATCATAGTGAAATAGGATAAAGCACTACCTGTCTGAAAAATCAAGGACCTAGTCAAAATTTTGCTATGTTGAATTCAATACTAAAATCATCACATTTCAGTAAAAGATGTTTGATAGTTCAACATGTGAAAAACAGGTATATTAAGGAGTATCACTAAATTCCGAAGTGTCAGAATTTATTTAGAGACTATCATTAACATCACAGTTCAAAAAAAATTAAGTAGATTTGGGCAGTTTAGAACCTAAGTTCAATAAAGACAAGTGGTACAAATACAACTGCAAGAAAAAAGGTTGCTGTAAAAATATTGGAAAACAGAGAAGCAAAACAAAATAACTACGATCCCACCACTCAATAACCATTGTTAACATTTTGGTATATATTCTGAGGCTCTGTGTGTGTGTGTGTGTGTGTGTGTGTGTGTGTGTGTGTGTGTGTTTATACATCTATACCTACACTGTATGAATACATATCTCCAGACACATATCTCTGTGTCTATTTAACTTACCTATAACTTAAAAGTAAACTGAATCAATTTTAATGATGAACTTTTGCACACTCGGAAATGAATTTTCTGAGGGCAAACACAAAAAATGAAAACAAAAAAGACTTCTTAGTGGAATAAAATTTTACAACTTCTTAGAAAATTATACTAGACCTGGATCTTTCTCCTTTAGTTAAAAATGACAAGGCGGTTTGTTCTTAGAGCCAATTAACACTCTACTGGCTCAAAGAGGGAGAGCTGCGGCAAACAAAAAACATCCTCTTGATCTTTAACTTCTATATTCAAGATGAGACTTTCTCTAGCTGCATTCTAAAGGCAAGAGAAGACATTGAGCAGGGAAAAAAAAGTCACACAAAAAGCAACAAGGTACATCACAGGGTGAAGAAGATAGGAACTGCACGGAGGCATTTCTGTCTGGCATCTGCAAGGGAATAACTCGGTCTTCGGCTTTTGCTAAAGGAATGAATGACCAACTGTTTGCTACACAGTGAGGACTTCAGCACAGTGAGAACCTTCCTAGCTTGAGGAAGCTATTCTGAATGGGCCGAGCCTTGGCAGGCTGTTCGTGCATATCTACATATAAGAGTCTCCCAGCTGGTCTCCATGCCTCCAGTTCAGCCCTGCCTCTAGTCGTCTCTCCACACTGCAGCCCAGTTGGAGGAATCTTCCCAACATGCAAATGAAACCATGTTCCCCATTGCCCTCAGGGCAGATCAAAACTCCTTAACATGGCTCAAAAATGCCTCGCATCAACTGACTTCTATTTACCTCCTTAGCCTCATCTTTCTCCTTCTCTTAGATTACATTAGAGTCATATTTAACATCTTTCAGTTCTCTGCAAAGAGGTCAAAGACTCTCATGTGTGTACAGTTCCTATTGTCTAGGCACACTCTGCTTTTACCTGGCTATCTCCTATTCAACCTCAGTGGACAAACCGTTTTCTCAGGAAGCCCTTCCCAGATTCATGTTAGCTCCTACTGTTACACAGTTACATAGTTTCCTTTACCTATCCATTTGTAACAGTCACTCCCTTTCATTGGTCTCTTTATTGATTCCTGTTTAGCTCTTTTCCTTGATAGATCAGAGTGAGGATGTGTCCAAGTGTTGGCCACTAAATACAGTAATCAGTACATGGTTAAGTTCTTAATAATTATTTACTATGAGAGGAAAAAATGCATAAATGAGAGTGATCCTTAACATCTTTGGGAGTATATTCATAATTGCTATTTAGAGACATTGTGAATCCATAAAAACAAGTTAATAATGTACTTTTTCTAAATTTCATTTGATGTTATTTCTTTTGAAAATTGCATATAAGTTAATTTTTTATAATTAAAATTTCCTATTCCTGATTTCTTCTTGAATTTTCCCTATGATTAGTTTCACACTAAGCTATGATGCATGATCCTTCCCTACCAGTAATTAGGTGTCATTTGTAATGCAATTTTTCATTAGATTAATTTATTTAATTAGGGTTGGGCTTTTTAATTTACTTTTATTTTGCCTGTTATATTTATACACTGCAATGGTATGTCCGTGTGTGTGTGTGTGTACATGCAAGCATATGCACATACACACACACTCACATATATAAGGCCGCACCCAAAATAAAAATGATTTCAGTCTGCCCTCTAGCTTTTCAACATGAAGGCCTGCTGAAGAGATTTGTTTTATCAAGTGCCATGTACTGCATGGCATACATAGCTCCCAAATTTTTAAGCTAGCTAGCTTCCTATGCCTTTTCATTCTTAATTTCTGACTCTTTCCTCATTACTACCTAAAGATTCAGAAATTACTTGCAATAAACAAAGTTTTATTACAAAAGTAATCAACTAGTAGACCAAATGCCTTATTTCTGGGCAGTGTATGATTGTCACTGTATGGGCTGCTGGGTTGAAGAGATCCTCTTGCCATTTATAATCACTACTTCTCCATTTTGCAATATTTATTTAGACAGAGGTTCTACCCGAGTTTCTGAGGATATGTGGCTTTGTAAGGTTTCTGTGATTGGCATGGGAGTACCAGGTTGAAACTTGAAAGTTTCAGGCCTTTTCACATACAATGTTTGGACAGAACTCCAGGAATTTGGACCTTTACATGAGTGGCCAAGATCCTTGGTATTCCACCCTATTAGTATATCCTTTTTCATTTTTAAGTAGTAGTACTTATCCATTTCTTAAATATATAATTAAATTAGGCTCCATACAGCAACACTTGAAAACAATAAAAAGTCAATGAATTATGCATGGATTTTTGGTTTTTGGAGTTACCTGGTCTTCCCGGGAAGTTCCCTTCTTTGGCTGTTGCTTCCTCAAAGCTTCATATTTTTGCTTTTCTTTTCTGTATTCTGCAACAGCACCATCTGGAGTGGCTTCTTCCTCTGAAGAATAGTAGAATATTCTTAGAATAAGTAGTAAAAAAACCTCTGTGGATTCATAGTAATATATATATGCTCATGTCACTGAAGAGGAGATCAGGATATCAGGTTGGTTTTCCTCCAATTAATTTCAAAATAAAGCCAATAAGATCCACCAACTCCACAACTATTTCCTAAATTAGAAAGTGACTGATGTTAATTCATCAGCTAATTTAATAAACATCTTTATTGTACACTGCATTATTGTAATTGTTTTTTGCTTGTACTTATTTAAGTTGACTATAAAATTACCAATCTCACTTTTAAAATAATTAAGACTTTCCTAAAATTCAGCAATACAATTTTATCCTGTTTCCTTGCCTTATAAGATATAATCTTTCAAATACTGATTGATATTTCAATTACATGACACTTTTGTTCCCCAGTTATAACAACAACAAGAAACTTCAATTTGATGGCATCATAGAAAATAAATATAGTTAACAATTCATGATAGTTACTAAAAGTAATAAAAATAATTTTTACTAAATTATAAATTAGAAAACAATTCTATGGGTTTGATCCTGCAGTAATTCCAGGAGAAGATTACTTAACCTCTGGGTTCATAAAACAAACAAACCTCTGCCTCAAAACAAACAAACAAACAAAACCCACAAGTACTAACATTTTACTGTACCTTACATGTATAAATATTAATGAAAATTTATGTCTAAAAAACCCCAACAGTTTCTCTCTTCTTGTCTTTGACTAGTAGACAAATGATCAGCTAGATGTAATCAAGAATGCCAGTAATCTTTCTACTCAAGGCTTAGTTTATTTGCCTCTTTGTTGCAGAGATTTTCTAATTAAAAATAAAAAAAAGTGGGCTGGGCATGGTAGCTCATACCTGTAATCCTAGCATCTTGAGAGGCCAAGACAGAAGAATCATTTGAGGCCAGGAGTTTAAGACCAGCCTGGACAACACAGTGAGACCTCATCGCTAAAAAAGTTAAAAAAAAAATTGGCCGGACACGGTGGTGCACACCTGTAGCCCCAGCTACTCAGGAGGCGGAGATGGGAGGATTGCTTGAGCCCAGGAGTTTGAGGCTGCAGTGAGCGATGATCACACCGCTGCATTCCAGCTTGGGTGACAAAGTGAGATCCTATCTCAAAACAGAATAAAAACAAACAAACAAAAAAAATAGGAGCTAAGAAATAAGTTGTCTTTTTGTAATTACCTAATAAATATGACTGTGGTGAAACTTAAAAGGAATAAGTTTTATAAACAACCTTATGTGGACTCTTTTAAAGTATATCTAGCCCTGCTTTCAAGATTGACAGTTAAATGCTAGAAACTGAGCACATTAATAAAAAAGAAACTATTAAATATGGAAATAATATCTGAGGCATATATGCTTTGTAAACACTAGTGAAAAGAGTTTGTTATTATATATGAAGTGATTCCTGTAAGAGGTTTAAAAATTACTTTCAAAGTTTTCTACTGATTTACATGTTTAGGTACTTCTCTTCTTATCCTGAAAGAGTTGCAGTCTCATCATCCTTGAATGAAGATCAGCCACTTTAAGATGACATGTGATTCCTACATGAGGCAGCTGATGCTTTCCTTTCCAGTCTCATTTCTCATCATTCCTTTGCCACACCCACCTTTGAGTGCTTTCATTTGCTTTAGAACTATTGCTCTCTGAACTCAGCCTGCTCTCTTGCATATGCCTTTGCATATGCTGTTCCTTCCTTTAGGAATACTAAAAACACTCCAAGTCTTTAATTTCCCAGTTAATTCTCTTTGCTTATTTCTGCTTATCGCGTAGGTCTCAGCTGGGTCGGCACTTCCTTTAGAAAGTCTTTTCTGATCCATTCTTGAAGTCTGGTTTGGATGTCTCTCCTCTGAGCTCCCAGAGCACTCTTCAGCATTTATCATACTTTATGGTAATTTCCAGTTTACTTTTTTAAAACACTCATTAGATATTAAGCTCTGAGACCTTTTCCCCAGCACTTAAGACAGTGCTTGAAGTGTTAGAAGCAGTAAGATAGTCAAATAAATGAATGAAGCAATATTGAAACGGAGGAAAGGGAAAGAAGAAGGTAGCAGGCCATTTTTGGCCTCCCAGCCTCACATAGTTAAAAGTCAGTATTTGCCATGCACCTAGAATTTCCTGCTCCATCACATTTAGGGAGTCAATGATAATTCTCTTCTGCTATTTTCTATGGCAGAATATCATAAAATCCTAATGAGTATTCATAGACCTATTTCATGTTTAAAACAAATGCAAAGGAGAAAGGACAAGTTCTCTAGATTTTCAGCTACAAAAGACTGAAAGCTTTTATTTGTGGTGAGAATTTTACAATAAATGAAAAGGCTGATACAGATGAATTCAGCTACCTCATGTGACAGGTAAATTAAGCTTACGACCTTCAAAACAGATTCAGTAGTGTTTATTTTAATGTGCTCACATGCAACTCCTTAAAGATGGTTCTGTTCAGTAAGGACTAGGCATTTGACTTTACTTTTTAGGAATCTGTAGGAAGTAGGAAAAAAAGTACCATACAGAAGCCTAAAAAAAAAATCAACTTAAATAAGTCAAAGATAGGCACATTTAAGTGTATAATAAAACAAGGAGTTATACAGCTTTGTTATCTATAGCACTAAAAGTTTTTTTTAATAACTTAGAAAAAGTAGTCTCTTCATTTAATGACAGAATTTTTAAAAATAGCTGTATTAAAGTACTTTATATATAGTAAAATTCACTAATGCGGGGAATACTATTTGATGATTTTTGGTGTTGTATACAGCATGTAATACTCACTGCAATCAAGACATAGAATATCTCCATAGCCCTAAAGTATCCAAATGTCCCTTACAGTCAATTTCCCTCCTCTGGCACCAGGTACCAGCAATCTACTTTCTGTCACTGTAGTTTTGCCATTATTAGAAACTTATACAAACGAAATCATATAGTATGTGGTCTTTCATATCTGACTTCTTTCAGTTAGCAAATATTTTTGAGATGCATTCTTGTTATTGGGAAGTCCTTTATGTAACTGAGTAGTAGTCCATGTTGGATATACTCTAATTGGTTGATTTTTTCACCAGTAAATGGGCATTTGAGTTGCTTCCAGTTTTTGGCTACCACAAATAAAGCTTCTATAAATAGTCACATACAAGTTTGTTTATGGACATATATGTTCATTTCTCTTGAGTAAATAGGAGTGGGACTGCTGGCTCATAAGTAATATACTCAATTTTATAACATACTGTCAAACTGTATGTCAAAGTGGCTGCACCATTCCTATCAGCAATGTAGAAGAGTTGGAGTTTCTCCACATCCCCAAATAAGAGCGTATGTGGTACTGTCATTTAACTTGAGCTATTCTGGAGGGTATGAAATAGTATCTTGTTACATTCTAATTACAAATGATATTCAATTTCTTATGTGGTTATTGGCCATTCACGTATCTTCTTTTGTGAACTATTTGTTCAAATCTTTTGTCCATTAAAATTTTGTCTTATTGAGTTGTAAGTTTTTAAAGATATATTTTTGATACAAGCCTTTTGTCAGATATATATTATGCAAATAGGTTCTATCTGTAAGTTACCTTTTCGTTTTTTGAATTTTAAAAATGTCTTTCAAAGATCAAAAGTTAAGTTTTGATGAATAGCTTTTAATCAGTTTTTTATTTCATATGCCACGCTTTTTTATGTCTTATCTAAAAAAAAATCTTTGCTTGCCCCAAGGTCACAAAAGTTTTTTCCCAATGTTTTCTCTTAAATGTATAAAATTTTAGTTCTTATGTTTAAGATGACATGGGATTCCTACATGAGGCAGCTGATGCTTTCCTTTCCAGTCTCATCTCTCATATGTTTTATTTCAAGTTAAATTTTGTGTATGATATAAGGTAAGGGTTGAAATTATTATTTTTTCTATACAGATATCAATTATTCCAGCATTATTTGTTTAAAAAAGGTTTTCTTTCCCTAGTGAACCATGTTTGCACCTTTCTTGCAAATCAACTGACCATATATATACATGTACTTCTGAAGACTCTCTTTTGTTCTGTTAATCTGTGCCTCTCCTTATGCCAGTAATACACTGTTGATTACTGCAGGGTTATAGTAAGCCTTGAAATTTAGTTATTGTAAGTCCTCTAACTCTGTCTTATTTTTATTTTTATTTTTTTTGAGTCGGAGTCTCACTCTAGTTGCACATGCTGGAGTGCAGGAGAATACTCACAGCCACCACAGCCTCTGCCTATTGGGCTCAAGTGATCCTTCCACTTCAGTCTTCCAAGTAGCTGAAACCACAGGGATGCACCACCATACCTGGCTGATTTTTCTGATTTATCTTCATGTTGCTCAGGCTGGTCTCAAACCCCTGAGCTCAGGCAGTCCTATCACCTCCACCTCCCAAAGTGCTGGGATTACAGGAGTGAGCCACTCACTTGGCTTCTTTGTCTTATTTTTGAAATCTGATTTGCTGATTTTTGTTTTTTTGCTTTTCCATATAAATTTTAAAATCAACTTCACAGTTTCTTTAAGTCTGCTAGGATCTTGACAGTGGCTGCACCGGATGTGTAAATTAATTTGAGGAGAATTACAATCTTAACAATATGGAATCTAACACAATTTTACTGAATTAACCTGCTATGCTGTTGAGGTCTATAATACAGTCTTCTTGGTTCCAACCATCCTACAGAGTGGTGATGCTGATTGTTGGATAGAAGTGAAGAGTAATTATTTGGAATGTTTTGAAACAAGTATAGGAAACTGTGGCTGATACCTATGACTAGCTGATATTCATTCTATAATAACATGAAATAGTAAAAATAAAGAATAAGCAGTTTTTATACAATAAAAAAACTTAGCCATCAAAATATCATGGGAATATAAAAAAGAAGATATATGGAATGCAATTTATTCTCACATTAAGACTCTCTGGACAAACAATGAACAACTCAATAACCAACCAAAACTGGATAATTGGTCAAAAATTATTCTTAAAAAACAA